TCTCTCTCTCTCTCTCTCTCTCTCTCTCTCTCTCTCTCTCTCTCTCTCTCTCTCTCTCACACACACACACACACGCACACACAGGCGCAAGCGGCACACTTGCAAGATCGCGTTTCCACGATGGGGTGTGAAAGAGATTGATGAGGTCCGAAAGAGATATGGTGAAGACTGGCTTGAGGGGCAGAGAGAATCGTTTGGTGGCAAACCTTTACGAAGCTTAACACGCGATGGGAGGACGCTAAAATCTTCTGAGTCCGTTGACTGTGCGCTGACTGACATTAACGGCCATTCTTGCAGACGAGAATCTCCCGCCATTGCGCGCAAACAAAGAAGCTCGGAGAGATGAATCTTGCATAGAGTTTGGCTCCTTCACCCCTCCTACATTTGCACCTGCTACAGTTGACCAGTCTTCGTGCAGACAGCTCCTCGACTTTCAAGCCCAAAAAGAACGTCTCAATACAACTCCCGTGTTTATTCACTGACAGCTTCAAATTCCCGTTCGCATCACATGCAGCACCTTCGATCCCAATGCATGAACACCAGGTCCTACTCTGCTCTACCAATTCAGAGTCAGCCCCAGCTGCCCCACCCCTACTACCATCCGTCCGAAAAGGAGAGGAGTTCCACGACAACTACTGGGACTAAGGATTCGCAATGACAATCACATCAGAAAGTAACACGATCGCCTCTGGTCGATTACACTAAGTACAGTAATTATTAATTAATCAAGTAATCGAGAGCCAGAACAGAGAGTGTCGTCTGAAGGAAGGCCATCGACAGGACCGTAGCAGATCTTAATTGATTACCGTCAGAGGAAGAAGAGGAGGGGACCGAACAAAACGGGGGGATCATAATGGGCCGCCGCAATTAGGCAGGCAGGACTGAAAGAAACGCGCAAGCAGCTGCTGCATTGAGCATATCCGCGCCAAAGAAAAGGCGGCAGCTTCGTTTCGGGCCCAAAAACGTGTTCCTTTTTTTTAGGCGGGCCACCTGCACTTCAGTTTCCTCGCCCGACTGCTGAAATCTGCTACCGTGATCTTAGCGGGGAATTGGCGCGAGAGAGACCGACTGCAGAAATCTACTGCCGCGAACTTAGCGGGGAATTGGCACGAACTCTGTCGCGTAACTACCGCGATAGCATGCGTGCCTGGCCCAACTTGCCCGCCCGCCCGCCCGCCCGCCCGCCCGCCCGCCCAATTGTACAGTTTGTTGTTAGAGCATTTGGGGGGCGGGAAAAGCGCGCCCTCCCCCGCCGCCGCGTAGATGCGCTGCTGGCTAATCCAGCATGTACCGAGAGCACATGCTGTCTGGCCACGCGGCGGAGCTCACGTGTCGGTCAGCTGAAGCTCATCATCCCCGCTTTGCGCTGAGCTAAGCGCGCGCTGCGCTCTGCGCTCGATCGAGCTGTCCCCCCGCCCACTGGCTGGCGCACATGCTCAAACTGCCGCACGAACGCGCACGAACGCGCTCTCCCTGCGCTCCATCGCGCGAGCTCATCTCGAGCCGAGCCAGATGAGATCCAGTCGGAATACGATCTGGAATGGAACCTCTTCTCGCTGGTGGCGCCACGCTGGACCGTCGTCTGTACAAGGTGTAAGAATTGGTCCAGTTTCAGTCCCGCCCTGACCGCGGACAGCACGTTGGACATCTCGCGACGTGGCCACGCCCGAATCCTACAGGGACGGTAGGACCACTGCCTCGTCTTGAAAAAAGGAAAAAGGATGAAAATGAATGAATTTTTTTCAAGGTAAGAAAAAGGGAACCGCTGGCCCGCCCTTGCGATCGAGACCGCGGCGCATGAGCGCGTCGTATGGGTGTACCCCAAAATTCGCGTTGACGTCAGCGGGGGTGGCACAGGAGAATCCCAGGCACGTCGACCGGCGGAGCGCGCAGCCGCACGTAATAGTACGGGCCTAGTTGCACTACTCGCCATCCGCCAACATCTTGATTGCATGTGGACATCTTAGTTGTCCAGATGCGTTCGAATTCTTGGCGGATTGCGAGTACTGCAACTAGGGCCCAATAGTACGGGCCTATATCTCTGTTGGTACACCCCACCCCTGAACTGTTGACGGACTCAAGCTCGAAGCCAGATACCTTCAGATGAAAAGAAAAACAAAAAACTAACAGTAAGGGCCTAGACGCACTGCTCGCCATCGGCCAACATTTTGAATGCATCTGGACAAAGCGGTGTCCAAATGCGTGCAAAATGTTGGCGGATGGCGAGTAGGGCAACGAGGCTCTAAGGGCGGGAAGCTGGGCAACTCGTAACCGCGTGCGCGCCACAGTGGACTTCCCTTTTTCTTGCCGGAAAAAGGAGAGTTTCCACATTTTCACATCCTTTTTCCTGCTTGGTATCGGGGCTGACCATCTCGGTCGGCCGGATGTACTGAAAAAAAAAAAAAGGGGTGGACCCCACAGCACCGCGGCAAATAAAAATGGGGAGCCGCGCATATAGCTCCGGTCCCGTCCACCACGAACGGACCTTCGAAGGACGGCGGGCCCCCACCGCAACAGCAAGGCGTGGTGTCCCATTCGCTCCCGTTTACCGAAATAGGAAATGTTCCCGTTGTTTCCCCGAACGGGAAAGTGAGGGGCCACGGCTTGCCTTCAGACGGAGGGCACTTTCGTTCCTGCGTTGTTTCCCGAACGGGAAAGTGAGGGGCCACGGCTTGCCTTCAGACGGAGAGCACTTTCGTTCCCGCGGATGTCCGTTTCACGTCCGTCCACCATGGCTGCCTCCATCCACGAAGGAGGCCCTCTCTGAGACCTACCATGTAACTTTGGCATTCTTTTTCGGAATTCTTGGTTGCCACAGAGGATTCTGCCATCGTTACAGCGAGTGGAAACGGAAGCTGAAGTCTTCCAGGGCACGCGCGATGGCCTGTGGGGTCTGAAAAAACTCTCCACGCCAAAACCTACGCTTTTCCGCATGCCTGTGAAGTGGGGGCCTAACTTTCATCCTCAAAACACGGGCCTCGTGCCCGCCCCACAAGTTTTTTATTTTTATTTTTTCCTTGAGATATCATCACTGAACTGACAGGCCCCTGGTAATTCAGAATTACTATAATCTGGTCGTCTGACAATCTGGATTCGAACTTGGGTCTGTATTTCAGCAGTTCATGGGTGTACCAACTGAGGTACGCCCCAAATTTTCAAATTTGTGCGGTGATTTTGGGCATCAGCCCACAGCACTGTCAGTCTCTGTTGAAGGTGATTTGGACTGCCTCTCTCTCTCTCTCTCTCTCTCTCTCTCTCTCTCTCTCTCTCTCTCTCTCTCTCTCTCTCTCTCTCT